AACTGCAGAAAACTTTAGGTATGAGACATATGTTTTCGTATTTTCAAAGCAGAGAAACTAAACCATTTAAGCAGACAATTATGTACAGGAGAATACAAGTAAAGACTTTCAAATGGGAAAATGCGCTTGAAAGCTAAGATCCTTTTTTTCTTTTTTCATAATTTAGACGTAACGGACAACCCCAAGGCTTTAAAAATTGCTTATTTCACAGGTACCACGGATAAATTACTCACCATCAGAAAAGCAAACACTAATACTCACGCAAATATAGAGTGATTAAGGATTTCATGGTTCAAGGTGGTGACTTCTTAAAGGGCGATGGTACTGGATCCATGAGCATCTACGGTGATAAATTTGAAGACGAAAATTTTATCGAAAAGCATACAGGCGCCGGTTTACTGTCCATGGCCAACTCTGGACCCAACACCAACGGCTGCCAATTCTTCATTACCTGTGATGCTTGTGAGTTCTTGGACGGTAAACATGTTGTTTTCGGTCGTTTGATTGATGGTTTATTGACACTTCGTAAAATCGAAAATGTTTCCACTGGTCCTAACAATCGCCCAAAGTTAAATGTTAAAATCACCGGTAAATATCCTTTTAAAAGGAAAAAAAAGCTCAAATGGATTCTAACTTTTATTTTTGGTATTGATAGAATGTGGACAAATGTAAATTGTGTAAAAAAAAAAAATTAAAATAAAAAAGTGTCTTGACTAATTACATTGGTGGGTGTTGCCCATTTTGCTGTTGTGGTTGTTGTTGCTGTTGTTGTTGCTGCTGCTGCTGCTGCTGCTGCTGTTGCTGTTGTCTAGCTAAAAACAGTCTTTGTTGTAAATCACGAACAGCGCCTGGTTGTAAGTTACCGAGATTTGCAAGATTCGCCATATTGATATTGCTCATGCCTAGCAAATTATTTGCGTTCATGTTATTCATATTATTCCCAGCATTATTACCAAGATTTATATTTGATAACAACAGGCTGTTTGCGTTAAGTCCTGTCGATTCATTGTTAGTTGATATGACATAATTTCGGGGTTTTTTTTTTTTTTTTTTTTTTTACCATTCATATTTTGCTGTTGGCCTTGACCTTGTTGTTGTTGCTGGTGTTGTTGGTGTTGTCCGCCCGTAGCAGGACTTCCCATACCACCAGCATTCATCAACTGTTGTTGTCTCAGCGTATTTTGCAAATGTTGAACATTTGGATTATTAGCCGCATTCATTAGGCTCAAGTTGGCAGTATTTTGTAAACTGGCTAACATGGCGGGATTAATATTATTTCCTGTGGAAGGGGTAACGGCTCCAACAGGCATGTTTTGAGCGCCGGTAGGTATATTTGGTCCTCCAGGGTTCAAATCAGGAAGTGGCACTCTAGTAAATACAATACCGATTAATTTACCGCCAGTATGTGTAAGAACGACACCATGGTGTGGTTCAGCTGTAGTGCCTGGTGGTTGATTGGCATTTATGTTAAAAACAACCGTAGCAATCTAGAACAGGTTTCATTTAGCACGTCAAATCCTTGACATTTCTGTACAAATGTTTAACTTACGTATTTCTTTTGTTCTAGATTTCGAACTAATAGAGTAAAGTTGGTTTGATCTTGCTGGTTACTTGTATTGAGGGGTCTGAACTGACAAAATGGTAATTTGTTTTCAATGGCCTGTCGTTGTAAAATTTGAGCCCTGGCTAACGGAGATCGTCCAGCAATCTGGATTCGTGATGGCCAAATATCAGGCCGGCTTAAAAGGGAAAAAAATGTCAGACATTTACATAAATCTTCTCTTTTGTCACATTGTGCACTTACTATTCATCTAAACTGACACTGTTACCTTTCAAGGTGATAGCAAAAGCACCACAATGGCAGCTGAATTCTTGCAGTTGGCCTTCAGGCGTCTTTATATGCCAAACAATTTGTCCTGTCCAAATTGGCTGAGTGGGAACGGCACCAGTTTGTTGAGCCTCTTGAGGATTGACGCTTTGTTGCTGCTGGTGTTGTTGGTGTTGCTGCTGCTGGTGCTGCTGCTGCTGCTGCTGCTGTTGTTGTTGTTGCTGCTGTTGTTGTTGTTGTTGCTGCTGCTGTTGTTGTTGTTGTTGCTGCTGCTGCTGCTGTTGTTGTTGTTGTTGTAACAATTGAGCTTGCATTTCATTTAAATTATTAGGTCTTACACCCGGCTGTTGAGGACTTTGATTTCTTTGTGCCAGTTGTGCAGCAATTATCATACGCTGTTGAGGCGTTAAATTAGCGGGTATCTGAGCGTTGGTCATGTTTCCAAGATTTAGTTGTTGATGTTGTTGTTGCTGTTGTTGTTGCTGTTGTTGTTGCTGTTGTTGCTGTTGTTGCTGTTGTTGCTGTTGTTGTTGTTGTTGCTGTTGTTGTTGTTGTTGTTGTTGCTGATGTTGCTGTTGTTGCTGTTGTTGTTGCTGCTGTTGTGCTTGTTGTTGTGCTTGTTGTTGTGCTTGTTGTTGTGCTTGCTGCGCTTGTTGTTGTTGTTGTGCTTGCTGCGCTTGTTGTTGTTGTTGTTGTTGTTGTGCTTGCTGCTGCTGCTGTTGTTGTTGTTGCTGCTGCTGTTGATGTTGCTGTTGATGTTGCTGTTGATGTTGTTGCTGCTGTTGTTGATGCTGCTGCTGCTGTTGATGCTGCTGTTGATGTTGTTGTTGCTGTTGTTGTTGTATTTGATTTTGCATCAAAGCATTAGCATTATTATTTGCTCCAGCCGTCATATCTGGTGTATTTGGTCTAACTTGCATGCCAGCAGCATTGTTTTGAGCAAAAGGCGATGAAGTGGGTGGGGTTGATGTAGCTGGATTTAACCCTCCCGGTTGACCAGTCCCACCAGCCGCTGAGGAGCGCCGAAGTTGATCGCCCAACTTCAAAAGAGCGGCTTGAATACTCTGTAATTGACTTTGTTGCGCCGCGGTAAGGTTTGCCCCTTGAGCGATAAGCCCATTTCTCTGTTGTAAAAGAAACTGTTGAAGTTGAATAGGGTTTTGCATGCGACTTGCGAGAGATTGAGCACCTTGAGGTCTCTGTGGTTGACCTTGTTGTGGTTGCTGTTGGTTTTGAGCCTGCTGTTGAGCTTGTTGCTGTAATTGCAACTGCTGCTGCTGGGCTTGTTGCATCTGTTGCAGTTGTAATTGCTGTTGCAGCTGTTGTTGCTGTTGGGCTTGTTGTTGAGCTTGTTGTTGTTGCTGCAATTGCAAAAGCTGTTGTGGGGACTGTTGCTGTTGCGCTTGCTGTTGTTGCTGTGCTTGTTGCGCTTGCTGTTGTGCCTGTTGCTGCTGTTGCTGCAACTGCTGCAACTGTTGTTGTTGCTGTTGTTGCTGTATTTGAAGCTGTTGAGCAGTCAATTGCATCTGTTGGGGAGGAGTCTGTTGTTGTATTTGGTGTTGTTGCTGTGCCTGTATCATGGGAGATGACTTGGGAGGGGTGTTCACAACAATAGGTTGGTCTGCAAGTACAGGTGAAGGAATCATTTCATTTTTCACAACAATATCTTTTTTGAGAGCAGCCTGTTGCTTTTGAGCAATTTGAGAATTGACACGAGCACTCGCTTCGGCTAATTTGGTAGCATCGAATACAGGCTTTGGTAAGCTAATCTGTAAACTATCTCTTTTTCGTTTTTTACTGGAATCACTAGATGTAGATTGTGGTGATCCAATAGATGGCCTTGAATTTAAAGCAGGTTGTGTATTCTTATTGGCATCTATAAACATATTCTTAGTTTTAATATATCTCGCAAACCGTCAATAAGTTTTACCTATAACAGCGGAAGGTAGAGGTGCAACAGGTAATTTAAATCCTGCCAATTTAACCAGATGGGAAGGGATAGCTGTTTCAGCAATTGTGTTGAGTTCTGTTTTTTGATCGTTTACTAAAGATACAATATCCTCTAATTCTTTACAATCCTTCTTTGGTGAGATCAGCGAAAGTTTTATGTTTGCCTAATAACATCTATAAGCTTATGTTTGTCAAAAACTTATTTTTGTAAACTCTACCCTTTTCATTTCTTTTCCAATATCATCCAATTTCAATCCATCATATTTATCTGCGAAATTGCATTTGGCGCCAATTTTATAAGGCATGCTATTCGACAATAAAACGCAATGTTGTATAAGCTCTCTTCCGTCTAACTCTTCCTTGTACTTATCAAACAACTAGAATGATTGTTTAGTCATAATGATAGGATAATGCACTTTTCAGGATCCTACCTCTAAAGCAGCTACCATGCCTTCATTAACAGCATTCTTAATGATACCACCATGTTGACATGATATGCTTTTAAATACATCCTGAAATAAAATTGGATCCGAAGTAAAGTATTTTCGGTCTACAGTAACAATCGATAAAGGTTCATAATCTCCAAATACAACAAGTCCATATTTCAAAACAGGCTATTCAAAAAATAAAAAGAAAAAAGGTGAGCTTCTGTCAATAGAAATTGGTGAAAAGCAGAACTCACTGTGACTTTAATTTTCGTTTGTCCATCGTCTCCTTCGGACACAATTGGTAATCTCAACTGCCTGAAAATAAAAAAAGAAGTTTAATTATGGTGTTCATGGATGCAGTCAATAATGCTTACTTTATGATTGGCTCAACATAGGCTTCATAAAGAACATTGAAATGTGGCTTCATTCGAGCAGTACCGTCCACAACAAAGACAACAGCAACTTCTTTTCTTTGGTGATGAGACACTGGAATTTGTGGCGACTGATGGTGAGTTGGTGTTGGCGAGGAATGTGATCCCGGGGTTGTTACGTTGGTCATAATTGGAGGCGTTGCGTTCGTTATAGGTGTGGACATGGTGTATAATGGACGCGCTTGATATAAAGAGTTTGGTATATCCGCTTTTTATAGTACTTTTTCCTAAATGCCGGTTGCCGTTTTTTTATTGTTGTGATTAATGTATCGGTAACAAAAGAATAAAGTGCTGGAGAACAAGGAAAAAAAATAGAAAAGGGGATTTGAAGGTAAAATGTGCTGAAAATCGTTGTGACTATCAATGGGGCGATTTGCGTACTTCAAATTCAGAGTACTATGTCTATAAGAATCAGCTCTTAAATATTTTCTCTTCTTTTCAGTTAACAATAAAGCTTGTCAGCTGCACTAGAACACAAACCCTTAAACTTTGTCCGGATTTTGTTCTTAAGTCGATCGCCCAAGACGGTTTGAAGCAGAATTCATACTCCCTCCAAATAGATCTTTTTATTGTACGTTGTGTAATTTGGTGGGTGTACTCATAGACATAATTTGTAATAACTTTCAGCTTCTGTTTAGAAGAGTGCTCTGTTATAAACTTGTTTGTCGCAATATGAAAGAATAAAGCCGTATGTATAGTTTTTTTTTTCTCAATGCACATAACAATTATTATATGTATATTTGAAAACATCCATATAGAAACAAGATGTCGCACTCCTTCTATTGAAAATTCTATAATTCCATTAAACATAGAAAGTTTTTTATTGGTGGATATGGTTTAGTTTCTAATGAAGTTTACTTGCTAAAAGAGCAGGGTTTTCAATAAAACTCTTCCAGGTGTTGCCAAATTGTGCCATGGTCGCCCCATCAATTACACGGTGATCAGCAGACCAGCTTACAGGCATAATTTGTTTAGCCACCAAGGTATCTGATTCGTTCAAACGAGGTAGTCTTCTGGCAGATCCTAATGCAACAATGGCCGATTCGTTGGAGACAATAATTGGGTTTGCATAAGTGCCGCCGATAGAGCCAATATTTGAGAGGGTAATGGTTCCACCTTTGAGATCGGAAAGAGGAATCGCTCCCTTTTTAGCCAATTGTGTCAATCGATGAATCTCTTCTGCCACTTGAAAAATTGTTTTTTCCTGAACATTTTTAATATTAGGCACAATAAGACCATTGGGAGTATCCATGGCAATTCCAATATTATGGGATGCACGGTAATGTATCTGAGGCTTATTACCGTCTTCTTTGACTTGCGCATTTAAAATGGGATGGAATGAAAGTGATAAAGATAAACACTTGATAAAAATGGGTAAATATGAAATCTTCTTGTACGCAAATTTGTCCGATTTACTGGTGATGTATGAGTTTAAGGCGTCCCTGTATTCTGATGTAGCTGTTAATTCAATTTCATCCTTGTAACCCAATTGAGGAATAGAAAGCGATTTTGTCATTGTTTTGTACATGGCTTTTTGTATAGCATTTAAGGGAACGGTATTGGTATCGCCGACTTCGCTTATGATACTATTTATAATAGACTTTGGTGCAGTATCTACCTTTGGGACATGCTCTTTAGCTGTAAAAAATTTTAGTATTAATAGGTGGCACAGAAGCTTGTTAGGATGGTTGCATACCTTTCTTTGTCAAAGAGTTAGCCTTGATCATACTCAAGACATCACCTTTTAATACGCGCCCATTTTTTCCGGATCCAGATATACTATCTACATTCAATCCATACTCGGTCAATAATCTACGGACCGCAGGAGTCTTCCATCCGGAACTATAACTTGGCAATTTAATAGTAGTAACCGTGTCTACATGTGCCGAAGATCCGACTGTGATAGGAACCTCTTCATCTTCTGTCTCTATATCCACTAATGCTGACCCCACTTTAGCAACATCATTGGCACCGTAATGGATTTTCACAATATTTCCTGCATACCGGGAAGAAATCTCAACTGATGCCTTGTCTGATTGAACTTCACAGATCTTGTCAAATTCAGCAACTGTTTCTCCGGGCTTCACAAACCTGATTTAAAAGAGATATAAATACACGTTTTGTAGCCTGCTTCATCAGATATTTGTTACTTACCATTGTACAATTTCACATTCGGTTATGCCTTCTCCAATATCGGCCAGCAAAAAGGGTTTGATTTCTCCAAAATTCTGTGACGAACAATGAAAAGACCGAACAGACTGTATGCTTTTGTCAATAATAATAGGATTCTCGGGGCTTATAACATACATACTTTTTTCAATAGTAAAGAGGAATTATGGGTTTTAGCCAGGCGTAAAAATACAGTATTCATCTCGAATGTAAACAAAAACAAAAGAGAATGAAAAAAAAGGGGTGGGGATAAACGAGGCGTGGAAAAAAATAGGTCCAATAAGTTGGAGATGCGTGGGAAAAGTGAAATAAAGTTGTGCATTACGACGTTTTACTGGACTGTCTTTTGAACATTTAATTTTATCTCCTTCCTCTTATCAAGCAAAAAAAAAAAAAGAAACGACAACAACGACAACAAAAACTACTGTACTAGAAAATCCTAATACAAGATAAAACCGAGAAGCACATCTTTTAGTTCTAAATCCCCTCAAAAGCCCGCCTAGAACAGTTGAAAGATCGATCGCTGGATCCATTTCATATGTGACAAAAAGGCAAAGTAGGTCAGCCAATAAAAAGGTTGGGTTGTTCCCTAAAGGAGCATCTAGAGTCATTTTATTTAATTCTTACTATACTTATTACCCTAAAAAATCAAAAGCAAAATAGACAAACGAGGAAACGCAGTCGTCTTGAGAGAAGAACACAGTGTAACTCTTAATTTGTGTTTAAGAGCGGAACACATGCACGAGCTTTAAAATGGGTTCCCGGCATATTGGGCATTCATTTCGAGACTCAATCAACTACATACAAATCGCGATTAGACTATATTTACTTTGACGCATGTTTAAACTCTGTGTTACCTTCTTAGCGCAATCCATACAAGTTACCATATGTCCACAGTCCAAAAATACACAGTTTTGCTGATTATCGAAACAGATTCGACATAATAAATCCTCATTACCTCCTCCATCCCCTTCATCATTTCTTTTGCTAGATTCAATTTCCGCCCTGTGTTGATCAGCTAGTCGTACAACCAATTTTATAAGCTCGGATTTCTCAATGACATGAGATTGCTCGACATAATTTGCTTTTAAAATAGATTTTAATGTACGCACAGAAAGCGATGCCGGGTCAATCTTTGTTTTGACAAGATCATGAAGCGATAGTAAATTGTCATTAGATAGAGGTGATAAGGGTCTCGTCTGTTGTGGTGATGAATTATTAGGTGAATTAGTAGTTGAAGTGGTAGTAGTAGTTCTTTGAGTTGTGGGCGATGCTTGCCTTTGTTGCTGTTCTCGCATTCTCCGAAGATGTTCGTCTCTTTGTTGCTGTTGTTGTTGGCGTCTGATTTGCTCCTGCTGGCGTTGAGCTTGTTCTTGTTGTTGTTGAGCTCGATCTTGTTGCTGCCGCCTTTGTTGCTCCTGTTGCTGTTGCTGCTGTTGCTGCTGTTGCTGCTGTTGTTGTTGTTGTTGTTGTTGTTGTTGTTGTTGTTGTCTCTGTTGAGTACGAGGGGAGACAGGGGCTGGCGTAAACATTTCATGCAAGATATTCGTAAAAGAAAACGGACTTGGTGTACTTTCGTCTCCAGAATGAACAGAAGATGAATTCGATGAGGTTAAGGGAGGTTGTTTACTTCGATGTTTCCTGTAATACAATTCACTGTCATTGGATATAGGCCGAGTATTAAAGATGATGCGTACGAGATCACTTTTTTCAATGGCATTTTTCGATGGTAAATTGTAGGCATTGATATATTCTTTGAGGGCTTTTGGTGAAAGTTTCGATAGCTCGTTAGAAGTCATATTTTGGATACTGATTAGTTTATCACAGGTGGTACAACACCTCACTGGACTACATAAAGTGTTTAGTAATACAAAAAACCAGGAATTCCTCAACATGATTTACTTTTCTTTACTTTTCATATCCAAATTTTAGAAGCGGTCGCTTATGTTCTGAGCAATTGTGGCAAACAACATTTCCTATTATAAAAATGAATATTCGGTTTCGAGAATGTTATGTCAGTGGCAAAATGGTCTTACCGCAGTTAAAGCAATGGTGTTTCTGTTTGAATAAACTAAAGGATGTTCCGCACTCGAAGCAATGTTTTGTTGAATTGGAAGGTTTCAGGGTTGGAATGGCAAATACGCCGCCTGGTCCGAAGTGTTCTTTCTTATTTTGCGACAGTTTGGTAGATGTTTAGAAAATGAGAAAGAAAAAAGAAAAAGAAATCTCAGCCTTTTACAAAGAGCGATGTAGCACTCCCCCCATTGTGGCCCTACACCTAGCTAGAGACACTACACTGAATTTCAATTTCCTGGAACTCGTTGTTACACACTTCTGTATCGATTATGTAATTTTATATGCTATGGTTGCTCTGACACAATTTACATTGAAGGGACGAGAACAAGCTAATAGCGCGGACTTGTAAGGACAAATAATAATAAAAAAAAACTGTAATTCTTTGTTTAGTAATCACACAGGACAGACAATCAAAAGACTATTTATCTGTCTATCCGCGGTCTACATTTTATTGACACTTCAAATCCAGACAAAATGTTAGTTTCTGGACAAATCAGACTAACTGCCTTTAAACATTACAGAGGTTCACATTAGAATTTTTTTTTACCGAAATCTTTAAAAAGAGAGAAGCAATGTTCAATATGACGACAATGATGAGCGATCTTTATTGCAATATCGTGAGGCGAAAAAATTGGTCATGCTGTAGCTGAATAGAATTATGAGGTCACGGAGGCACGCAATAAAGCAGCCCATGGATACAAGTAGCCAATTAAAATCAGTAAATTTGATGATGAATTGACAATGTAGTTGGCAAAAATCCCAATACAGCTGTATTTCATTATTGTTTTATTCTGTACTTTCCTAAAACTACAGTAACATTTTACATGACTTTATTCTTGACATGGACAAACTGCATTTCCTTTTGGTAAAATGCGGCCAAGCCAATACATACAAAGGCTTTTGATACCGCAATCTGATCCCACATCTCAGCAAGTGGATGTTCAAGCATTATTGTGGCCAATGATAATATGGCTTGCTGTTACACGTGATAGGAAAATTCTTATAAATACTGTATTTCTGTCTTTTTTAACGCACAGAAATCCGATGTAATCTTAAAGTGTAACTTGAATGTTCATAAATAAAAACGAGCTCTTTTTTCCATCGTTTGTTATTTGATATTTAAAGTATTTTCTTACATTCTTGATCATGTATCATTTTTTGTTCGTTATGCTGGAATAAAAACGGTAACTTACGCTTTCATTTACAACACGTTGATAAAAAAAAAGAAAATGATCAAAAAGGCCTGTACGTCAATTGACATGCCATATTGTCTAAACCTCATAGGGTGGTCGATTTCTGTTTTCCATAAAAACTGCTTCGCTGTCATTACAAGCTACTACTGGAACGCAGATATACAACTAACAAGTTTTGATTTGCTTAGGGGGTTTTTGCATATGTTTCTATTTTAAATAAAGGCCCAAACTTTATAAATGATAAAACAAGGGGTATTCTTGGCGCACCTGCTGGCGCACCCAAATCGGGCTTTAAAGTATAATTCTTACGTAATATATTCATTTTGGGTGCGCGAAAGCAGTGTACCGAGCTATTACATAATATTTTTATTTTATGTGCGCGGAATGAGTGCATCAAGAAAGGGACAACGTATTTGTACTATATTTTATAAGCAACAGTACTTTGCTCAAGGAGGTCCCTTCTTTTAATTTTAGTCCTATTTACATCTACCAAAAAAATGGACATTTTTGAAGTAACAGAATAAAGTAATCGCGAATGGTCGAAACCTTTGGAATCGTAAGTACTTTTACTATTATTGTGCATTCGCGTTCCATTGCCGATGAGTATGAAAGAAAGCATAACATGGTATTCGTTACTGTTGGATTAAAGCTAAAAAGCAATGACATCTTCTTAGTTTAAAAGCAGTTTGGTGAAAACAAAGTAGCCGAACAGTAAAATATGTATTGCTAATTGTTAATCTTTATCATAAGCATGCTATGAAGGAATAACTTGATCTATGTGAAACTGATTATATGCTTCAATCTTATAAGATTTCAAATAAATATAATGGTGGGACCTGTGATTTTTAAAGAAGGCCTTATTGTATTTAAGTAAGACATAAATACGATCTGTCATAGCGCATGCTTCGCTTGACGCACCCATTCCGCGCACATAAAATAAAAATATTATGTAATAGCTCGGTGCACTGCTTTCGCGCACCCAAAATGAATATATTACGTAAGAATTATACTTTAAAGCCCGATTTGGGTGCGCCAGTAGGTGCGCCAAGAATACCCCTAAAACAATCAATCAAATCATTCTGACATAAGCTTGTTTATTTATAAATAAAGCTTCTTTTCTTTTCCCTTGACATACTTCTTTTATCGTATGAAAGTAACCGAACACGTAAAAAGTTTAGTTAGTAATGACTCTTGTTTCTTTGAAAAGAAGCTAAATTAAAAAGATATATTGTGATATTGCGGCTGCGGCTAGTCTTTGCTATAGGAGGGCGACCTTCTAGGCAGGATTCTTGAGTTTTTGGAACTCACAAACCGTGAATAGCTGGAATTGGACTGTAAATAGGTTCAAGCATTCTGGTCTGCTGGTCTTAGCCCGAATTGCTGTAAGTGGTATAAAAAAATACGTTTGAAAAAATACGGTGGTCTACGCATTTCCAAAAATAATGATTAGAGTTACTTGTACGACAGTGTTGAAACACTTTTATAGTTTAAAATTCATAATTATTTATTATCTGCTCTCTTCCCTAAAATAATATTATGTTCAAAACACCAGCAGCATCAAGACTTTCTTACTTTTCTTGGTTACCTACGGCTGGTCAGCTTTCTCCAGCATACGATTATTTTGACTTTGCCAATACTTTTGATGGAAACCAGAGATCCATAAATCGTTGGTATAGCAACACAATGAAAAAAGCTTTGGAAGATGCCAAGGGAGCAGATAAATTCGAGATCGCTCAAAAAATTAATCAATTTAATGTAAAAAACTACCCTATTTAATGAGAAATAGATTTGTTTTTAGCTGATATCTCTTTTAATTTCAGGAAAGAAACGCAAAAAACACAGCATTTTTTAAGAAATATCAAGAATATTGGTCCAATCGAGATAGAAATGAGTCACAAGAGAGAATAGCAAAAAGACAAAGAATAGCAGCTGAATCAAGTAACGAAGAAGCTTGTTCCGCATTTGAAACAATCATTAAGAAAGCAAGTTTTGGTTGAATAGAATGATAATGGCTGAAGTACTAATTACACAGAATAGGTTGCTGCTGCTGCTTGTGGTGGTGTAGCTGCAAATGACAACTCTGGTACTGATGGAGCTAGTAGTAGTTCAACAGATCATAGTTTACGAGATACCAATGAAAAAGTTACTGAAGATCTTGAATGTCACTCGTTCGATGAGTATGCTTGTTGAGATTTTATTTTTTATGCTTAAAAAACTTATTTTTTTTTCTTGTTCATGCAGATTAGGCGAGAAGTTTATTTTTTTAGACAAGGACTCAACTCACCACAATGAAGCTGCTCAAATTTTAGCTAGCCCCACAAAACTTCCGAATAAACCTCTCACCCATGTTTGTCAATTATTGCTGGATAAGTTGGCTAGTTGCGCACCAAGTACAAGATTAATGAGAGAATTAATCAGATCTTATCCCTTAAATATGGATGAGCCCTTTGACCTTTCAATTCACGCCGATCTCAATTTTACAGAAGTTATGTGCACTCATTTGTAAGTTGTTCATTTTAAACAAGTTTAATAAGTACTAATAAGCTAATTTTCCCTTTTTGTTTTCAATCATTACAGTCTAAATTTAATCGATAGCCCGAGAAATCCTATGCAGCAACAACAGATGGAAAGGAATACTGCCTTTCTTACAACTATTCCAATTCTCCATAATATGTTTATCGACTGTAACGATATAATTGACATGCAATGGCAAGTATAGTTGAGAACTCAGTACTTTTTCATCTTCCTCATATACCTTATAAATGACATAGGATTGAAAAACAAACACCTTTGACTGGCGACATTAAATGGGATGGCGTAGCATTCTTGGTAAAAAAAAAGTCAGTGGTACCTCTGCTTGTTGAACTCTCTGGCGGAATCGATCACAATAGTGGTACTGAAAAAGCGCAGGGGGACGAAGAAAAGATGATTCGCCAGTTAATCAAGTTATTAAAAATCAAGAAAGCTGAGGGGTCAGACTTACCTCATCAATACTACATACGATATCATGGTAAAGTCATAATATCCATTTACACGTAGTGTATACTAATTAACCTTTTTTATAGATTTGAAAATTCATTTTGAATCTCTGTTCTACTTTGGAGAATATTATGTGAAACGAACTTATTTCGAGTTACTATGCCCTACCACTCCCAATCAGTTAAAGAAATTTATTGAAATAATTCCTGATTTGTTTCAATATCGCCAAGCAATTCTTGACCAACTGAATACTTAAAAGGACGTTGATAATAGTAAAAACTTAATAAAGAGATATGCTATTATTATTGCTGATTCATTCAGTCAAAAAGAAGAATACACATACTTCATTTTTTTTAAGAACTTGAAGTATTCTGAATAACGAAAACTTTACTTATCATTTGCATGCTAAAGATGTAGGAATACGATTAGAAATCTACTGGTATTCCAAATGCAAAAACTTCATCGTGATGAGGATACATCACACTTTTTATTGGAAATAGTTTATATATTGATAGCACAGCGTAGCCCCAAAATAGTTGTGAGTCTCTTTCCTAAGCACGTTAAGTCCCATAATTGGTGAAAGTAAGAGCAAATTAGATGTGAAGACTATGAGGGAATTGAGCAATAAAATGAGTACCCTCAATGGTTTTATAGTAAGGAAAAGTCTGGGTCACTATTTAAAAAATAATAAGTAGTAGGTGCAATTATAAAAATACTTACCTGAAATATTCTTCACAAGTCGATGCAGTTTAAAAAGGTACTCTACGGTGTTGAAGATAGAGTTAAATCTTTCTACAAGCAGCGTAATTTCAATGGGTCTAAAGTCCAGAGCTTTAAAAGTTATTACATTTAAAGATGTCAATAGAGCAGGATCGAAACTTAGTAGAGGGGGTCAGCAACCTTCATGTCAACTGTGTTGAAAGTAAACAGAGAGAGATGCCGATACCTTTTTATGCGACAAAACTCTCTACGGTGTTGAAGATAGAGTTAAATCTTTCTACAAGCAGCGTAATTTCAATGGGTCTAAAGTCCAGAGCTTTAAAAGTTCTCACTTTTAAAGATGTCAATAGAGCAGGATCAAAACTTAGTAGAGGGGGTCAGCAACCTTCATGTCAACTGTGTTGAAAGTAAACAGAGAGGGATGTTGATGTTTTGCCAACTGCAGATGAAGTGAAATAAAAAGCAAACCAACAATGCGAGTGTCTATTTTTTCCTAGGTTGTATCTCGTCATCAAAATTACAGACCAATAAAAATCGATTTTTAGATAAATTTTTGAAAGACAGCTGCGCCGCCTTTCCTAACTTATATTTTCATGAGGCATGACCTTGGTAAAGATGTGACCAAACAGCGTTGAGCTAGCAGTAATACCAAAGCACCTGCTACTTTTTTTAATACATATTTTGCGTTCGCATGAGCATATACAGATGTGATAAAAAAAAGTTATATCATGTACCAATTAATCAGAGATAACACATACTGGACACTGTGGGAGCTGTTCAATCATTAAACCATCATGATAGAATGCTATAAGATAATAAAGTAACTGTAATATTGAACTTTAGCGAATCACAACTATACCAATGTAAAACACTGTTTGTAGCAGAAACCGAATTCTAGACTGCCTTCTTCCTTAGATAGATTAATTTATCATTTTATGGAACAATTTACCATTGCTGAAGGGAAAATTGCTCAAATAAATTATCCTTTTTCATCTGGACAGGTTTTCCTGTCAGCATGCTTATAGAATAGTATGTCTTGATGAGATACAACGACTCAATAATCCAATTGTAAGTTGATATGGGGTCTTTTCTTCATTTTCTTATTTTTTTTTTTTTTTTTTTTTTTGAAGAAATTTGAGAACTACATAACGAACAGTTTTCAAGAATTTCATGCTTTGCGACAATCTTTGTACAATATTCCTGAACTTTTAATTTATTAGTGGGCTTGCCAGAAACGTACAAATCAACCGTTGTACAGAGTAAGAAGCATTATTTTTATAATACATATACGGTCTTGATTACTACTTTTACTTACCAATTTCTTTGAATATGCTGGTAATGTAGATGTGGGTATGCATTTACTAAACTTCAAGCTTTGGATTATTTGCTTTTTAAGAGGGTTTTTAAACTATCACCGTCAGCAAACACGAGTATCTATTCCTGCAAAAACTATAGGTAATCTCCAGCCAAAAATTAAATTGTGTCTCACCTAATATCTTATGACAAAAAATGTAGCTGGAAAGGCTTCAAATGCTATAGTTACTCACAAATCATTCAGTCAAGCAGAACTTAGAGTATCGTACTCAATATCTTATGCTCGTATTTCCGGGCCCAAAGCAATGTACGGCCTATTCGCATTAGCCCAAAAACGAAACTTGAATGGCAGTGGTAACCATTATATACCACGCCAATTATTGCGTGGTGATGATGCTATAATATACTACCACCAGTTTTAAGAATTGTACACCCAATATGAGCTAAAAGAAGAGCTTTGGAAAAATATGTTTGATCTAGATAAAGTTGAAAAGAAGCGACTTTGTAACTGTCCAAGTCTGTATCATGCTACTGCAGAATCCAGCTCGGACAAGCAAAGTCGGTTTGCATTTTCGCTAGGAACTGATGGACATATGGCTTCCTTGCTTTTTGAAGGCACTAAACGATTCCGTGTTCCTCAAAATAAAGAAGATTTACGTATGCTGACAAGGCGTATAGATTTGTCTACAGTTAAACGTGGACTTTATCCACTCTCCAAGAACCCAATTGGCCTACAAATAAATGATCGCTTAATCGGTATCGATCCAAGTAATAAATGAATTAATGCTATCTTGTACGGCTATTAACAAGCGTTATTTCTTGTTCAATAAGGTGTTCGGGATATAGTAACTGTTGTTGATTGTGAAGAAAATGTTATGACAAACAAGCAAACGACAAAAAAGCACTTTTTCCCCATTAGTTACAGATCGTATAAGTAAGTGTATAAAAGTTCGGATTTGAAAAGATAGTCTTCACTAACCTTTTGGATTCATGAACTGTAGAGATGTTGTGACTACTATTACGACCATATATATTATCCTTCAGCCATATAAATAAACTTTAGTCTTTTTTATATCTCTCTTAGTCACTTCTAGTTTTACAGACATAGATCGGGATAAAAGTGGCAACAAAATTATGAATTGAGACATCTTGAAGCCACTAAAATTCAAATCAGCTATGACAGTCTTCAAACAAGAGACGTTGCTACTATGAAGGGTTTACTACTTACATGGATTTCTTTTTCGAGAGTACCAAAGGTAGTCTACATAGTGAGCGTACATATAAAAAGTGCAGCTTAAAGATTACGCCTATATCATACATAATTTTATATATCCAGTGAGTTTACTTTGACCGGCATATTATGGAAAGCCCTTTTTATGACGCCGGTTTAGACTATGTCTACGCCTACGTCCTTTTTTTAAATTTAAATTATCCTGCGTCTTTCTTTAAAGACACGGTATGTTTGTGTTCTTATCTATTAAGAGACCATAAGTGAAAGTAATAGGACTTTAGAAACTGGAATACAAAAAAACAAAGAAAAAAAGTAGTTATGTGGAAAAGAAAAAGAGAAGAAAAAAAAAGTGTGTGAACGTTTTATTTATAGACTGGCTTATGTCAAGATGATTTATTTGTTTATTCAATCGCCCACTATGTTTGGACCTTTACTAATAATGGAAAATCCTACAAATGACCCCAGGCCTATAAGTAATTCCGAACTTGTTAATTCTCTATCGGTTTTTCAGTAGTAGCATGCGTCAATGGTGAGACACCTTTTATCAAAACAAAAAAATGAAGTCGGTCATCCCGTTAAATTTAGAAAATGTTAAAATAAGTTGACCTGCTTCCCAGAAGTGTCATCGGAATATGCAGTGATTGGTGCATTGAGCATTTTTATCAAATTATTATCCGCCGCCTCCTCTTGATTTATATAAAAAATGATCTATAGTACCATAAATCGAAGTGATTATAAGGAGCTGATCCATTATCAACAATACGAGATATTTCCCTCTGTATTTTTAAAAAGACGTTTCATCAATTGGATGCGTTCTTCATTTTTCATCCTACTGCAAGCTCATAAGTTAAAGAGGAGCTTTATTAGGAACTGCGGTACCCTTTGTATTAAATCCCAGTGTCGAAGTGCTTACGGAATATATTAATTAATAACGACTGTACAGCGTACGAATATATACCGTATCATTGACATAGTAAAAAGTGTTGATGTTACGTGATTGCTTTGTTCGTTCATAGCTTGGTCTAAACACTGAGCAGATGTGTCTGGTGGATCAATTCATTTTATTATATACAATTGGCTCATGGATAGCGCTTAATTTTACAAAATATTGATATATGTCAAAATTTCATTTTTGTGTACAATACATGCGGCCTTTTTTTTTTGCAAAGAGGATTATTGATAAAATTGTTAATCAATACGAATAGGAGGAGAAACTGTGTAGACAAAAAAAAAAAAAATGGTATAGAATGGACAATATGGCCATTTTTTTTTTTCACCATTCTAGTTTGGCTTGGCATGCTAAATTGGGTTTAGATTTCACTTCGAATATGCCTCGAACAAGGTCCTCAATAACTTTATCATCGTCCAAAGTATTTTCAATGATATCTTTGCAATAGCATGGTGTTACTCTACCGTACCAAATAGCACGGTGTCCGTTATAGGTATATACAACAAGATTACCTGCAAAGGCATGTCCTTTTTTTTTTGGAAGGCAAAAAAAAGAAAAAAAGAACAGTTAGCTTATTAAAAGAGGGGAATTTTTTTTCGTTACCAACCTCCCAAATGACTGACTAAGGCTACTTTTGTCGTACCTTCTTCCTTTGTTGCTTGTAAAGAAGCCTGTTGTAGGGCCTTTTGTAGCATTGGACCCACAGTGCCACATCGACGATCTTTGGTGCCATGACCACAAACCAAGATCAAGCTTGAAAAGGGGCAAGGGTAGATCGAAAAAGCTTGGTAACAAGGTTTACCAAAAATATAATCCAAGAGCGCATCAACTCTTTTTAATGTGATATTGGCAATGATGATATTGTCCGGTAAAAGAATAATATCCATTCCCGTAGTGGAATACATGGAAGGCAAAGATGAATTGGTCACGATCACACGTTGGTTTTCGTTTTCATCCGTGGTGTTACCAAAATAGGCGGGGTGGTATCGGTTTTCAAATGGTCGTTTGTCTAGATTCTTACGCTTTTGAATGCATTGAATAAACGCTCGTGCCAATCCCTCTTCCTCAATACGAGACGGCCAGTCTGTTTTACCTGTCATCAGAATAATATGGATAGCGTAAGGTGGAACCGTGTTATGCAACGGTTTGGATTGATCTATATTTAAGTGACTTGGCACAAGTGGATGTTGTGCGCATGGTTTCATACACCCTTTACAGTCCACTGCTACAACAGGTGATAGCTCTTTAATGTCAATCGGTGGTAATATATTGTTGGTTGCTAGCTCGCTGGTACAGGATGAAGAATACAAGCTATTTAAACAGTTGGCTAGCCACTTCATTTTTCTTTTTTTTTTTTAAAAATTATGTTAACGGTAAAAAAGGGGAAGGGAAAAGCCCCGCATTTTCTTTCACCCCCAGTAGCTTTTTATATTATTTTTTTGAAGCTCAGTTTTTTTTTATCAGATCATTGCTAGCTTACCGAACATCAGGTGCTGTATGTACAACCTTCAAAAAAAAAAAAAGAGAACATATTTTGTTTATCAGCAATGCTATATCTAATGAGGGCTGTTTGTCTGTGATAGACAAGTTAGTGGATTGCATGGAGGTAGTCTAATTTAAATACAGATATGCCTTGTCCAATTTCATTTGAAACATCAATTTATCTCGTCGATACAGTGGGGGGGGGGTTGATTAAGAATAATGAGGTTTTTATTAAAACACTGTAGAGTTAAATGATTTTCAATGTAAGTATACTACGAGGCCCAATAAAGTAGTCTTCTAATTTTTTAGATTCTTCCAGCTCTTTTCCTTCAAACATCAAACATTGTCTTGAGATGAAAGTTCCATAAAAGGTTTGTACGAGTTTTTTGATTTGCAAGACTGTGTTGTAATAATCCACAGAGAAGTGGGAGATAAAGCCATCAGAATTATGTAAGCTGATGGTAAAAGTCCCTGTCATTCCATTGGTTTCCATCAAGATCTCGTCACCGTCCTGAATGCCATAATACCCAAGCACTTGGTCCTTTTCCAATAAGACACCTTTGTACCTGAGATCCTGGTTACCAGGAATAATTTGTAGAATGGTTTCTGCACGTTTCTTAATAACGATAGGCTTGTCTACCATCGGATTGACTTCCACGTCAAAATAAATTCGGTTTTTAAAGACAAACGTTACGAGTGTGATTTTCATTCAGACTTTGAGAAGGAAGCATTTTGAGAAAACAATATGTATTTATATAGGGTGTTCAATTAAATTTGAATCTAAGTTTAGGTACAAAGTTCTTTGTTGCTATGGTTCTCTTTGTCTATTTTTTTTCAAAATAAACATTCTGCTTAATGAAACGTTCAGGAGAACGCTTCAGAGATACAATTGACCCAATTCGTACAGGTTATTTTTTAACAGTCATGAAATATCAAATAGCCTTTACAATGAATTATTCTACCATGAATTTACCTAGTGTATAAAATAAAATCATTATGCAGATCAAACCATGCAAGATGAGCCTTCATTTTACTGTTTGTTAAGCTTAAAAGATCCAATTTTTTAAAACGCCGTTCCAAAACAAGACATCAAAACAAACAGTCGCGCAAGGGATGAAAAAAAAAATTTTTTTTTTTCTGTCGAGGATAAAAGGTCGAAAAAAGTTAGCAAAGGGTCTTTTTCTCTTCAACAAGTATTTGCCTTAGATCCTTTATCACTAAAACTTTTATAGTTTTTTACTCGTTGATAAAGCTTGAGTCATTCAGATACAAGAGAACTTATACCTCCATCCTGGTCCAGTATTAGTTTTTGCTCTCTATACGCTTTCTTTTGATGGCTTTAGTTTTTTGGTTGCTTGCAATCATCAGATTGATGTTCGTTGGGTTTTAGCGTTCCAAAGTAAATACCACGGATTCACTTGGGGAAATCTCTAAATTATTTAATTAAAAATGAAAACGAAAAAAAAAAAAAAAATTAGTACTTGCTTACAAGGGTAGTATTACCATCTAATCTCACATTTAACATGACGCACAAATCACACACGTATAAAAGAATTCAAAAATCTAGTTTATTCAAAGTTCTAAAGTATCTCTCCAGTTGGCAGTATCAATATGCTTAATCTCTCTATGACGCCAGGCCTCAATTCTCATAAAAGCGGTCAAGATGATTTGACAGATATCTCCATGAGCCACCAAAATCACGATTTTACCTTGCATCTCACTTTCAATCTTGGCAATAAATTGGCTAGCACGATCACATACGTGGCTGGGGGATTCGATCTTGTACTGACTGTTCTCTCCATGGTCAGGAGCTGCTTTATCATCATCCCAACACACATGGTAGTTATCATCCGATGTCATATCAAAGTCACCGTAGAATCGTTCTCTCAGCTCCATTTCTTTCACAGGTGCACTCACATGCCCATGGGTCTCCTTGAGCACTCCATAAATAATCTCGGCTGTCTCTACAGTTCGCTTAAAGGGAGAGCAGAACATGACCACCTCTTGATCGTTTTGGCTACCAGCAGGAAACAAATGTTCAGAAAGACAAGTGGCAGACTACACGTTTTAAAAGGGAACCCCGGTTAAAGTTACAGCGGATTTTTATACATTTCTTTTTTCCCTAGTTGTTTACCTCTTTGACTTGAACTTTGCCCTTTTCATGGAGTCCATAACCAGTACCTAAAGGACCACCAGTGGGAGGAATGGCAATATCGGGATTAGAGCAGATTAGTTTTGCATTGTTAGCCAAGGAGAAACCGTGTCTTTGAATAATATAGTGGTTTTTAAGTTCTTGAGGTAAATGGTTATAAGATGGTTGAGACATGGTTCAAAGTATAAGAGAGGTGTAATAGTGTCAAAAAAAAAAGAGGCTATCTTTATGTGTAGTTTAAATCTCAGAATTCACTAAAGGGGGGTGGACATTAAAAACGGTTTGAGGCTCTAACCCAAATCGTGTGCCTGCAAGCATACATCATTCAGTCTATGACTTTATTCAATCTGTTCTAATTAAGAGCTTGTAAGAAGAAAATCACTACATATTTTAGACGAAAAAAGAAGAATATACAGACCATGGCTTATATGTTATATTTGAATTTCGTGCAAATCCCAAGGGAATGGAAGCGTGAATTTTTTTATTTCATTCATCTATCAGCAACCTTTCGCGACGAGGGCTTTGTATATAAAAAAATTCTACGTCAAGCAACGAAAAAAAAAAAAGAGCTCATTTTTTATCCAGGGAATTTCTATTTTCTATGGCTTTCGTTCAAGGAAAAACTGACTGTAAGCGTTCTATATATTTGCGAGGAGAAATTATGAGATTATTTGTGAAACAATGCAAAGGCAACACTTTACCGCTTTGGCCTTCTTTACAACATCTTTCGTTTGAATTAATGTATTGATACAGGGTGTAATAACATGCGCAGGAATATCCACTTTGCTGTCTAATTCTACCTTTGTTCTATTTACAAACAAAAAAAACTAATTAACAAAGTTGTGTCGGTTTTAAAATGAAAACTTCATGTCTTACAATCCTTCTGGGTGTTGTGCAAGTACCCTTAATAATTTCTTCATATTGTTCATATGATTCTGCATAAAAACCATAAGATTACCATTTCTCCTTTCAAGCATACACTTTGAGTTCTTACCGTTTGCTCTCTATACATTAATGGAAGGCCCTTGATGATTTTCATAATATCCACCTATAAAAAAAAGTTTGAGTATCTTTTTGACTGCACACAATTTCCCCCCGCTTAATTACATTCGACACAAGACGCTTTTGTACTTTGGCTGGTGTATTGGTGGTAGGGGTCGAGACGGAAGCCTTTCGTTTTCTAATGAGTACTTTTTCTTTTGGCTTGGGCGTGTTTTCTGTAGGTTCTGGTGTCTGGGCGGAAGGGGCAGGAGTGGGAGGAAAAGGTGCCTTGGCGGTACGTTTCAAAAAGGACAGTTCTCTTTCGCTAGGCCTCTTTTTTTTTTAAAAAAAAAAATTAGTAAAGGACACAAAAGTGCATGCGTATATCAAATGTTTTTCTACCGTGGTCCACTGGGTTACTTGATCTGCAACAGTTAAGCCGTACAAGAAGGAACCAAAGGATTCATTAAAGGCAAGCATACTATTGTTCATTTGTTCGAGTTTGGCCATGCGTCTACTGAGAGTTTGAAACTCTGTGGTGATTTTTCCAATAGCAGGGATGAGTGTGTCGAATTTATGATCGGGTTGTTGGTTACTCATTATGTAAAATTAGAGAAGAGAAAAAAAAAAAAACTAAAAAAAAAAAGCTTTAGATTTTTCATTAAATGTGACGTTGACACGTTCACATTTGTGTGTGTGTTTTTTAATTGAATTTAATGCATATTTTGATCCTTGATAATAGAAATTATGTGTGAGGAAAAAAAAATAGCTTGTTTCATCCAAACATTGGATGGCGTTGTAAAAAAAAAATAGAGTCCATTGTTGATATTGACTCTAGAACTGACTGGGCAGAAAGGTTATGTGATGTGTGTAATGGTCTCCTTTTTTTTTTCATATTAAATTGGATTATCCTGAAGTTGATGGACCTGCTGCTGGTGTTTGACGTCCCAAAATTTTAACGGGTGGTTTATTCTCATCGTTCTTTCTGGCGGGTCTTTTTGGCTTGGGAGCCTTTGTCTTTGGATCTCTAGGAGGTCGTTCCCTGGGCTCCTTTGGTTCCTTGGCTTCCCTAGGCTCTCTGGGTGGACGAGGAGGTTTGGGTGAATTTGTGCCTTCGCCTTCCTTCTTATCCCCATCCTTCTTCTTTCGGTTACGTTCTCTCTTTTTCTTTACAACCTCCCCTCCTCCTCCACCACTTGCAGCAGCAGTACCAGCAACACCTCCACTTACACTAGGTGACTGTGCATTCTTTCCTTCTGTCTTTTTCGTGCTGCCCGACTTTTCCGATCGCTGCTTTCGGGTCTTCTTGCCAGACGATTTTACTCTAGCCGCAGCCTGAGCTGCCTTTTGAGCACGAAGATGTTCAAGAAGTGGTGTCGTCTTTGGTTTATTTGCCTGTTCAGCAGCCAAAGTCTTGGCTATACACAAAAAAAAAAGGGGGGGAGGGAGAGTTACCAACCATGTTTCAATCACAAGTTGCATGCTGTTAATTTACCTGTCACCATGGCGATTCTGTTCTCTAATCGCTCTATTTGTGTAAGTCCATCACCCGTTTCGTTTTCAAGGTCGTGTTTACTCTTTTCTTCTGCCTTGAGGGATTCTAAAAAGTCCAAATAATCCTGATCCTCATCAATGGTGCCTTGACGAACATCGACGGTCTTATGTTCTCTGGGAATTTTCTGATAAGGTGCGAATTCGACAACAGCTCTGTTTTCGTTGCCTATATCAATGGTTTGAGTTCAAGTTAACAAGAAGAAGCTCTTATCCCTTGACTTACCACGACTGTCCATGAAACCATGACCGTCAAATCCTTGATGAAAAGCAATGACTGCTTCCATCGTCTTAAAGTGAAAATACGCACGCGAGAATACACTTTCCTTTGCTTTACTGTTGTGTTTATAACACAAAAAGGGGGTCAATAAAAAGTTTTCTTTCTTTGGTTTGTTGGACAACATGAGGTATATACCTTTTGCTAAGTTTGCCAGGTACATAGAGTGAATAGTCGACATTGTCTTGATTAATCCATGGCTTGACCGAATTGAAAAAAATCTCCTCGGGCAAGTTGGGCGGAAGTCTTCTTACGATGACTTTAGTTTTTAAGGTGGGTTTACGTGCATGACGTTTCGACCTCTTTTTGGTTCGTTTCTTGGGTTTTTCAGTAGACGTCTTTCCATCTACAACTTTTGTTACAACTTTGGGTGAATCAAGAGGGGTTGATGAAGGCGTTACAACCGCTGACATTAGTGCTTTAAATTGAAAGAGAAATAATAAACAAAAAAATACACGCACACTTTTTATTTTTTTTAGTCTGAAAAAAAAAAAGAAGGAATCGCCCCCGCAAGTCGCTCCTTCAAATTCCTCCCCATCAAGCATGGCTGTAGTATCGATGAAAATGAAGCTTCTTGTGTCCTGAAGGACTTTTTGCAATATTTTCGGTAAAGTGCTCAGGGAGTGTCATATTAATAAACCTGGGGATATGAATTTTTGGTAGCATGTCTTCATTGTCTGCATGCTCAGGAAGAAAGGTGATGAAGGTTGATTTTCTTGTTATCCACATTTCCTTGGCCGTCCACTAAAATACTTTTTATTAGTGTTGGGTAAGCATCTTTTTTTTGGCTTCTTTTTATTACCTCTATAAAAATCAAAAGTATTTTGAGAGGAACATCAAATTCAGATTCCACCCACGAAAATAGGTAGCTTGTTAGATATTGATGCGCTAAAAAAAAATGGAATGGATACATAAATACACATTTCACAGCCATATCTCGAGTAGATACATTACCAATGAAACACGCAACCGACAATATGATTTGCTTTGGTTGCTCATAATGTTGAAATAAACAAGTCAGGTGATAAAAAAAGGCGATTTGGATAAACGTATTCAACGCAACCCTTTTCAACCCTATACAATTGTTAGTCCCACAAAAAAAAAAATCTAAATGTAATTTTACCGTAAAGAAGAACAAATAACGCTTGACTGGTCCATTGTATAGGTGCAGCAATAAACTTTACTTGGTCATGAATTGTTTCGATCTCGCTGTGTAAATGATGTACGCTATCCAACGACTTATTCAAAACATGACTCAGGTTATCATGTATACTATGCATGGAATCTCTCCAAAAGTCAAGATATTCCTCTTGTACATTCTAGTATACAACAAGTTAATAATAAATGAAATATTTTCATGTCAGAAAAAAAAATTAAAGCTTTTACTCTGGTATTAGACCAAGTTTCCAATGCGTCCTGTTGAATTTTGACCATGTCTTCGATATTTCGATCAATGGCTTGTAATCCTTGAATAACAGTACCCACCACCTTTTTCAGCTCGTATTCTTGTCTTCTAACCAGATGACTAAGCTGGTCTTGCATTTGATCAACATGATTTTGTACTAGCCCGTTATACTTGTTGATCACTACCTGCGTTTGATCTTGGAGCGATACCAGTGACGTATAGATATCTTGTATTTGACTTTCGCTTTTCGTATGCAAGCCTTGGATAGCATCCATTTGGCTTAAAAGCTCCACCTGCGACTCCTTTAATTTGCTCAAGGTCTTGAACTCTTCGTTTCGCCAGTTTATCAAGTATTCTTGCTGTTGTTGCAAGATGTTAAAATTCCGGAGTTGATTCAAAGTGATGTTTACATGCAGTTTTTGAAGGATTTCTAGATATATATCAGAATTAATATTTTTTAAAAAAAAAAACCGGTTTTTTAATTATTTATACCTTTTTCCATAGGATATCGGATTGCAAAGCAGATTAAAACTATAAAAGTTGAGCCTAGTGTGTCTCCTCTTAAAGTGTTTCAAAATAATGTACTCACCTACATCTCGAAAGTAGCCTATAATTGAATAAAGAATGATAGAAGTATTAGTGTATGGTTTCATTCTGGTATATATTTGGCCTTACCGCTGTAAGAGGTCCATGTTTGAGCTGATTTTGATAATTTTCTAGACAAACAGAAAATCAGCATTGATATTGAACCTATTTAACTTTAAACATACTTTACACACTGCTTGACGTCTCTGCTGTTATAACGAGGGTCCTGCGAGATGAATTGACACTCCTTGGGCACCTTCATATCAGCGCTTTGTAACTCACACAAGGTTAAAGTTAACGCATCTATCATTAGGTTATTATTAGTAAGCAATATCGACCGATTTAGGCTTTCTTATTTTACATTCCATATTTTCGGTACTGTCCAAGTTTAACGAACTACAACCATGAATTAACTTTAAAGTAACCTTTTTAAAACAATCCGATTCTCGTTGCTGAAGCTGCTTGTATAATTCTTTATTCAGAAAAAAAAAAAGAAGGGATAAATAAATACGCATTATGGTGCTACAAAGTCTTTTTTTTTTCTGAGGATTGTACCTAAGCCATGATCAATCACAATTTTCTCGCTGCCTTGTAACAACGCTTGTATACAGTTGAGTTTTTTTTATTCCTTTAACAATTATTATAATAGATACCTGTATTACGAATAGAGTCTTGGTGGATGGCCTTTTTCATAAAGAAGGCAAAAAGTGCTATTGTTATCCATAGTCTCATCATTTAAAATGAAAAAAAAAAGTGAATAAAGAAGCCAGTGTATAAAGATTTAGATAAGCTGCATATAATTCTAAGCTGGGCGTGTGATCTAGAATTGAACAAACAGGTTTTTGCTTGTACGCACTTGCTTTTTTGATTAAATAAACAATTAAGTCATTATGACATAAACCAGAACTTGTTTATCAGTCTATCGATAAAAGGCTTTTCTTAGGGACAGCCCGATGTTTTCCTCAGGGCACAACCAAATTTCAAGTAGCCACAACGCACGATCTGTGTTTTGGTTGTCCATAAGACATAAAAACAAGAATATACTAACAAAACTTATGTAATAGTCACCAATAAATGTAACTTGAACAATTTGTACCTCTTTTAACAACTACATCATTATTCTTTTGTCCCCTGGGATCGTTCGGTCTTAATCTTAAGCAGAAATATAGTGGATAAAGTTAAAACAAGATGCTGAAAATAAGCTATAAGACATACATACAGGTTAACCATATATTGGATGGAATGCATTTGCATCTAGTTCACGACGATAAGTTATATTGACCTCTTGGTGTCGGTTAATGTATCATAATCCAACATTAGAATTACGCGCACCCTGGATATCCTGTCTCTAAATAACTATATTTTTTGAATGAACCTTAAAACGTCTAAATAAGCAATATTAATCTTATTTCTACCGGGTTTTTATTTTTATGTTTATGTGTCAAACAGCCCGTTTTTCCACACCCTCGACTTATGAACGTTGTTTAGTGGACGGCTTAAAGCAGAAGTGAATAGTTGATCAGCACGTACTGAGCAGGTTTTTCAAGCTACTTTTTTATGTTACCGCATTGATCACAGACAAGGGTTATATGTTATATGAGAGGTTGCTTCCTTCTCTCTTCCCTACTCCTTTAGTTAAATAAGGTCATTTGTTGCTAATAGTGACCCATCAAACCTGTATGCAAGCAGTGGATGACAAAAAATGACGGTTATTTGCAATTCAAAAAGTAAGACACCAACTACAAAAGTATTTAAGACTTTGTACCCATATGTTAAGCTACTGACACAATAATTAGTCACGAAGAAAAACGTTGTTACAAACTCTTTTAGTAGTATGATAAGCATTTGAATTAATTGTATAATTTCTGAGTTTAACCCCACAAAAAAAAAAATTTCTTGAATACTGTCAAAGTTGATCTCATTTTCACTCAAATGTTAAATATTGTTGACCAAAAAAAAAAAAAAAAAAAAAAAAAAAAGATAAAAAATGAAAAGGATGATCGTATACTAAAGAGTCCTGTCCAAGGTGTGCTATTAAAACGCCTTCTGCGTATACTTGGGATCTTACTAGTTTTCATTGGCTACAAAAAATAACTGCTCTGTCTGTGGTGTGATTCAGCCTATGATGTGATTGTAATCTCGTCGCTTCACAATGGTAGCGGACAAGCATGAGCAGCTTTGTCCAGATATCTGAGTTGGATATTAATTAATAGGAAAGTACCAAACTTGGGTAGCATTTCTATCCCTTCTCTGTAGAAACATATAACAACTCAGTGTATTTTTTTTTTTTTTTTTTTTTTTTTTTTTTTTTTTGAAAATATCATCGATATAGAATGAGGGAAGGATAATCCAGGTTTCTCATAAGGTAATGAATAAATGATCTTTTAAAGGAATTGCATATTTGCAGATGAAGCCACTTTCCATACCCACATGACAAGAGGCCGAGCTTGATCTACAGTAGGAGAATTCGCAAATTTCACTGTTCACAAACAAAAAAGTGCTAATGTCAGTATTGTTGGATGCTTAGCATATTTTGGAACAGTCAACTTTTCAAAAGTTGGTCTTTTGACAAGGATGTCGCTATGAAAAAAAAAAAAAAAACGACCTAGAAAAGAAACAGCCTTTCTAAAGGGTACCACGGCGTATCCTATTGTAAAGTTCATGGGAATGGTAGGCGCAGCAAAAAATAATTCTTTATTGTGATAGATAATTGCAGATTTGATCGCTCTGTATTTGTTGTTGACGGTATCAATAAACCTTTGCTCTTACCTCCTTACTCTCCTTTTTTAAATCTTTATGAAAAATAAAGAGCCATAGCAAGAGGAACCCATTTTAGTCTAAGATCTCTTCCTCTTGCAACTTGCCAATTAGTTATTGTTCAGAATTGTCAAGCCTGGGTTAAACGAGCCAAGACGTTCTGGGATAGATGCATTGACAAAGATTAGGCCCAAGGTAAATGTTATCCATACACGTCATTTTTGTTTCTGGCACGAAAAAAAAAAGTGTCTCAAATTGAATTCCAATCGTACCAATTTAGAGTAAAATCCTGTATTACAAGATCATGCCATTTTTTTTCAAATATCTCCTTTTTCGATCCGGTGCCAAACAGTTACGATTAATTTTTTTTTTGTTATGTATCACTTGTAAACAAATCACTTTTTTTTTATTCTGATTAATGTACATCCAAGTAAAAACCTGTTTGTTCAATTATAGGTCACACGCAGCTTAGAGTTATATGCAGCTTATCTATCCTTATACGCGCTTCTTTTTTTTTTTTTCTTACCTTGCATTTTAGTGATGAGACAATGGATAAACAATAGCATTTTCTGAAAAAGGCTATCCATCCAGACTCTATCCGAAATGTAGGTGATTATATCTGTTTTATTGCCGTTACGATTTTTAAAGAAATAATCGGTTATTCAAACAAGTGTTGCTATGAGGCAGCGAGAGAATTGTATGTTCGCATAAGGAGTTGTAATAGGGAGCTAAATATTCTTCCCCTTTATTTTTTCTATTTAAAGTCGAGTCGTTTCCCGGTTCTTCTTTTTTTTTTTTTTCTTTTTTCTTTTTTTACTCACTATAAAAAAAGAATGGCAACATTAGAAAGAAAAAAGAAACCTGCCATTGTAAGTTTTAATATAAATAGCTGCTACCTTTTTTCTCATTCCTTATTTTGTCCTTAGCAGCAGACTAGAACAGAAGATGATGACCTCACGGATGACCCAGTGTTGGCATGTCTTTCCAGAGAGCCCATGGAATACAATTGTCTTTCAACCCAAGTGATTGTCTCTCTCGAGTCGGTGAAACATATCTGTCTTCAAGTGCTTGATTTATTACTGCTTAAATTGGTGCAAGACATTCCTCGTAAACAACATCAGCGTAGACGCTCGATCAGTTTATTGGATTCCATCACCACGACAACCAATCTACTGCAAGAAACTACCATGAAGCGCAGTCAATCATCACCACCTCCCTTAGCAACCACCATCTCCGACGTACACCGCATACTTGATAATCATCCGTCCGATAACCATGGCTACACATTAGCTTGCTCTTTAGCCGCCTTATTAAATGATGTTTATCGGCTTTTGGAGCTCAATTCGAGTCACTTGTATCAGGTCGACACAAAGAACAATAACGGAGAATTGCCTATTATGGACATCAGCCTATTACAGCAAGAGTTACACGAACAAGTCACCCATTTCCAGTCAGAAAGAGCACAAGGCAATATTACGATCGAGGAAAACGATGCCAGCCAAGAAATGATGATCTTGTGGGATGAAATGGATCATTTGATGAATATTGTGAATGGGCTGGTCCTTCAATTACCAACGCCACTACAAGCAGCGCCACCACCTGCATATCCCATCGAATTACCGCCACCCGCCTATGATTCTCTTTTAGAAAAGGGGCATGACTTGGATTCTCTTTTGAACGCTATCGATCGATTGTCAGTGGTTGCACCGCAATTAAACAATCAGCGCGTGGGATTGACCACACGACAGGTGGATGCATTAGCCGCTGCTACTTTGGGTAAAACCGTAGAACGATTATCTACCCGACGTATGGAGAACCAGCGCGCTTTTCTGCCTTTAAAATCAAGACACGAGTTATTACAAGATTTGATGCATCAAGTGCAAAAATCCGCTTCGAGGTCATTGGACAATCAACGAGTAACACTTTCGGTGGATCAGCAAAAGAGATTGGATATGGCTTCACTGGATAGTCTGCTCGATCGATTAGATGAAAGACGCTACAAGAATCAAGACTTTATTTCACGAGAAGAAATCTTGATCAAGGACTTGACACATACCACCGACTTGCTGGTCAAGTCCCTGAACCGCCCCGCATATCAACGCCAGAGATTTAGCATGTCCGCCTTGAAAGGCGGTTTGTTTCAAAAGGGGCCAGATAAACACGATTTAAATGAATTGCTGGATAATATCTATAAATCAAAACCTCAATATACAAACCAGAGAGCAAGCTTCTCTTTATAACCCCCTTTTTATTTATTTATAATATTAATCATCATTTTATCACTTTCATGTTTTCATTGTTTGCTCTTCTTTCCCCTCTAAGTAAGCTACATACACTACTTGCAGGTGACGTGTGAAATTCGATTTTTTTGATTGAAAAGCCGATTCTGAACGAGGGGTATTGTTAAAGTGTTTTTTTTTGGGTGGAAAGCTCTCAGTTTTTTTTTTTCCTAAAAAGATATTACATTAATAACCATGTCAGGTAATCATTTCTACAAAAAGATTAATGAACCGCTCCTGACATTTTTTACCTCTCATGACCATTATAGAAGGAAAGGCAACTCAACAAGACATGAAAAAGTCTCGGATTCCTTTTGAGTACCGTGATTACTGTGCTCAACTTTTAATTCCTCTCAACAAATGCAGAGGTGAGACATTTTACCTTCCCTGGAAGTGTGAGACCGAACGCCACGCATACGAAAAGTGTCAATATGATGAGTAAGTCTTTTTTTTTTTAGAATTCGATTTACAAAACGACCCACTAAAACTTTTTTTTTCTTCTATAGTTTCAAGCGTCGTATGAAGGAACAACAAGCAGCAAAGGCAGAAGAAGAAGATTAAACAAATCTATACATACACACACAAACAATAAAGACCTAAACAAATCAATCTTTTTTATTATTATTATTATTTAATATTATCAATTTACTTCATGTGTTGTGCTTGAGAAGGTTGGGCATAGATAAGTGTCATGAAAGCTTCAAGATAATTTTCTGCGAAACTCGACATATAAAATTCATGTTCTGAATTATGAGCATGGACAAAGTTATGGGCTAATTCATGACACAGCGTCATAAACCAATAAATCAATCCTTCTTTGCGTTTACTCGCTTCCTCCGCTTTATCATTGGGTTCATGCAATGCTAAATAATATCGTAAGTTCATAAATAAACTACCGCTTGTATTAAACGCAATCGCAGGGCCCTCGCCATCATAAAAGATCTGGATTGTCTTGAGCTGTAGCTCAAACACTTTAGCAAGTTCCATCAATATACTCGTAAACCTTGCCATCGCTTGCCCATATTGATCAAGAACATCTTCCGCTGATATACTACGATGCACGTAGAATTCCATACCAAGTACATTACCCGCATACGTCAAATCCTGTCCGGGCGTAGCGTCACAATACGTGCTAGCTTCCTTCACTTCGTTGATACGTGGTGGTGCGTACACATCTTTGCCAGCATACGGTTTGCATGAATGAATACCGCGTTTTAAATTTTGTTGGATATTCGAGGTAAAATTAGGCGTAATTGTCGTATCAGATTTGGGTAACTTGGGTTTCTCCACTATAGGCTTAGGTAACTCAACAGGTGGTGGTGTAGGTGGTGGAGTGGTTTTGATCGTAGACCAGAATCGATTCATAAAACCAGAGGATCGTTCCTTGTCCTTTTGGGCTTGTTCCTGTCTTTGCTGTTCTAACAATTTCGCTTGTTCTTCTTCCGAAGTGACAGAACCCATCACTTGCTTCTCATTCGTCTTATTTTTAGGATAATCTTCATGCAACAACTTGTTAATCACGTTCTGTGCATGGTTTTGCGTTTGCTGTGTGATGAGTTGTCGAATATATCCTTCTTGACAATCCCTGAATACATCTTGTACCTGTTGTGTATACTTGTCCACATCTTTTGCAGACATAGTGGGTACCTGAGGAACAGGCGCTGGAGTGGAGGATGTACCCGCAATAGGACTTGTAGAAGGAGGAGGAGTGGGTATCACTTCGACATGTTTACGGCTATTCAGGATACGATCCACAGGAATACCCTTTCGTTTCAAATTAAGTAAGCTTGCTGTCAAATGTCTTTCAAAGACCATGGCGTCTGTAGTTCGTGTACGTGTAAACATCAGACTACACAAGGAGCTGGCAATGTCATAATAATCCATTTCTTTGGCGCTTGAGATATAGATGGTAAATTTAGGTGCATCAGCACAGGATGTGGTAGGCTGAATATCCGTTTCTTTGGTATATTTAAACGTACGGGTCATCTTGAGATCATGTACTTGGATCACCTTCAAATGCTTCTCCACGTACTTGTCATCACGACGAAGCTCTTTACGACGACCTGGATCATCATGCACCATTTGGTATACAATAATAGGCGTACGTTCGAAAATGAGTTTAGTGATTTCCTTGGTGCGTGGTGTAACACCCATACTACTGGCATAAGAATACGCTTGATGTATTTGGGACGAAAGTGTTTTACTTCCTAGCATCGCATAAAATTCTTCCAGCTGAGGCTCCATGGGAGCGGACAACGGATTAAATATTTGTTGTCCCATCGTGTCATCACTAATAAAGATATCAGACGCCTTGGCTAATCGATGCTGCACAAAGTCTTCATTGGGTTCCTCATTGGCTGTATCGTCTGTAATCTTGGGAGATAGTATGGTTCGTTTGATACCCACTAAAAAGGGCTTTGTCTTCATGTCCTGGAACAGCTTTTGATTTGACTTGATTACATAAATTTGACCGGCAATTTGCCTTAATACGCTAAGATATCTCTCTCCACCACTACTCTTGTTATAAAAAAGTTGTGGATCCTTCACTATAATTGCAGCCAGCTCCACCGTAGTTGGTTCATCTTTAACACCACAGGATCTCAAGAAGGAATTCGCATGTGAGCCAAAGTCAACATACGTAAACAGATCCTTGTAATAATTGGCAGAGTGTTCAGACTCAAAGTAACATGAGGTGGGTGTCTTGAGTGTCAGCACATCATTTTCTTTTACTGGGATAAATGATACAGTCTTTAAATGAGATAATTGAGAGCTTGAAAAGTCACCTAGACGACTTGCCATGTACTCTAGTCGTTTTTTACAAATAGTAAGGTCGGTTGGAGTAGACGCAGTAAATGCCTGTAGAAGACGATCAGCAGGAGGATTTTCCTTCACACCCAGTTTATCACGAACAGAGACTAAATCATCATGCAAGACTTGGAATCCTAATACATGAGCATCCGAGTTGGTAAAACAATCACGCGGTGTAGCAAATGTCTTGCCGTCAAAGCAGGGTAAGAATTTGAGTTGGATCTTATTGACATCATAATAAGGATAATCTTTAGCATGATCGATAAACCAGCTCAATGCAATCTTCTGGATTGTTTTTCTTTCATCCGTCATATTAGGTTCGGGTGCGGCAAGTAATAATAAGGTAGCTAAAGGTGGCGATGTCAACAACCCAAGTTTCACTAAAAACTTGGCTTCTTCGTTTCCCGATTTCCATTGAGTATTCCAGTACAGTAAAGGTAATTTCAGGTCTTGTGCAATCTTGGTAGGTGCGTATAAATCCCCGGCGCGGTACCGCTTGTAGATTTTCTTGGTGACTTTTTCGTAGATGGGTTGTCCATCGTCCGTAAACTTGCCTGTACTCTTTTCGATTTCTTTAAGCGTGGGTTCTTCGCCTTGTTTGGTAAAAATGGCTGTCTCACGTAATCGACGTGCCTCGGTCTCAGTTAGTGTAGATTGTACTGAGGCTAGGTATTTAGCCAAGTCAATATGAGACCAACTTCCATCCGAAACTAATCTATCAAAGATCATTTGTAAATCCACATGCTATTTTTTTTAATCAACACAAACGTTAGACGAATACAAATCTATTACTTTTGTATATATGTTTACCTTTCGAACTTCAAGGGCTGTTAAAAAATATTCACTAACACTTCTGGGCTGATTGAAAGCGAGGATGGGTAAATCATCAAATAGATTGACACTTGTGAAATAGGCTTGTTTAGGAAGTGTCATACCAGCAATGGTTGGAATACACTTTTTTTCTTTCAATAAATTGACAATTTCTTGCTGTCCTTTTCCAGAGAAATTTTGAAACTTTTTCGAGACAATGCGCAAGATTTGTTCGGCAAATTCTTTCGACGTTTCTAATTCAGGTTTGGTGGCAACGATATACTTGACCCAATTATAAACAGTCAACTCACTCATATCACAGAAATAAGACTGTAAATCCGCAGTTGTAAAGTGTTTAGAAATGGAAAAGGGCATGGTATCATGTGGAAACGGCATATCCAACGGAATGATCTTGGGATTCACCCACCATCTCGTATGTGAAAGTTGTAATAATCCCTTATCTTCACCACAATCCATAACAGCGGCATCCAAGAATTCGGCTCGCGTGGCCTCATTAATAACTGCTCTTGTAGCGGCAGGAATACACTTGTTTCCCTTATTACACTCAATCCACCATTTCATACAAGCTACCATCTCTTCTGGTTTCAAAGATCGTGTTTCCAATTCTGCCAAGACATCTTTGATACCTAAAGCTACCAACATGCTTAATTTCTCCAACTTGACTAAACTCTCTTTACACTCTTGTGCCATGATATGTGTCAGGGTAGGTACATTCTTGATAAACGTGTCCAATAATTCAGTAATTACATGACCCGTAACGCTGGTTCTATCAGGCACGGTTCTTGCACGGTTGACAGGTTTAATACCATGCGAGGTCATTATATCGAGATAGCTCTTACACGAATTGAAAAACCGTTGTTCATGTACATTTCCTACCACTGAACTGGGTGTAGAAGGACCAAATGTAAATGATTGTAGTGCATGGGCAGCTCTCTTTTCAAACATGAGTTTAGCATCATCTTGTCCCTGACCTCCGTGATTGACTAACTCAGGATATAGTCTTCCAATTTGATCCATTTCGTCGTTATAAACCATTCTGGCTAATAAACCACCAACTGCCAGTAATTCTCGATTCCAAACACTAATATACCTGTCTGCAAAATCAATACTTTCTCTTTCAACAGTGGGGATAAATCGAGAAGCCATGTGGCAACAACATCCCGTGGTTTGATGTGTAGGAAACCCAATAAAAATCCGACCTTGTTCAGGAAAAGGGATTAAATCCTTAAAGATCTGGTTCGTATTCTCAGACGCATCTAATTCTTCTTTTCCCGTATACACTAATTGGAACTTGGTCGTCTTAGGTGGCTTCTTTTTGGTAGCTCGTTCCATCTCCTTTTCATACTCTTGCGTGACGTTCACTTGTAATTGTCCCGTCACCACACGTAAAAAGATGCATCCCTTTTCCATTGGTAATTTCTCTCTTTGTGTGGGTTGATTGGAGGAGGATTTGCCTGTCAAAAAATTGGCAAACGGGGAAAATATTGTAGGGGGAGTATATTTTTCCGCTTCTAATTGGATTTGACGCATATCGCAACTTGTCAAAGTAAACATACGTTCAGGGGAGGAAGTAATCATACGACGTGCATCGATCACCATAGGACGAGGTTCTGCTGCACTTTTGTTGATATGAAAGATAGGTTGGTTATCAAAGAAGACTGACACTTGCTTTAGGTTGGCTGTAAAACCCATACTAGTGGTTAAGAAACGACAAAATTGGTCGAAATCCGGCATCTCCATTGGCTCTCTTAAATCCATTAAAAAGGATGTCCATATATCAATGTCTTTGACCGGTATATCCGCTCGCTTTGCAAATAACTGATCGCCCTTGAAATAGAATGCCATGCATTGAGCACCTGAAAATACACTAAAGAAAAAAAATAGTTAAGTACGAGAAGTCTCAAAAACAAAGTGTGATGTCTTTTTTTTTTTTTACAATGGATTTTCGCAAACAGAAAAGAGTGAATAAAAACCGACACCAAAAGCACCAATCTTTTGTTCATCTATCACGGATTTAATTAGTGGTGATAAAATAATTGACTGACCCTTTTTTTCTCTTTACCAGGATTTCCTTCAGCAATTCGCTTTAATCGAGTCCAGTCTTCGGGTCGAAATGCCATACCGTTATTTTTAAAAACGATACGATTACATTTCGATTGTAAATTTGGAGGTTTGCTCGGATCGGGTGAACTGGTGTGAAAATAGATTTGAATTGAGCTCGACGAAGCATCATCTGTTTTTTAAAAATGGGGGGTCAATGTCGTTCACTGATTAAGAAAGGATAATAAACCTGCCTGCATTTTGCATCAATTCCCTGTAAAGCACATATTCTGCAGAATACCTTGCCAAGATTTTATCAATCAAGTGTCGTTGATTGACTGCGGAATGATCATTAGCTCCTCTTTCCTCGGACTCAAAGAATACTGATATCTTTTTTACCTTCCACTTTCTCTTCGACACCACTACTGTTCATAATACTGGAGCGTAGCAGCTCCAGTTGCTTATCTGCTTTCGTCGTCATAAAAAAAAGTGTCGAGAAGTGTAAAGAAGAAGAAGAGGAGGAGGAAGAAAAAATTCAGTCAAATGCTGGAGTCGCAGCACTCGTCACGTGAAAATGAATCAACTGATGCATGTTTGCGTTTTTATCATAGAGCCGATTGAATAAATATAGTACCCCTAGACTATACACCTTGTAATGCGTCTCTGCATGTACACGTCTCGTTTTTTATCAATATAACTCTATCTTCTATGCAGTATGGACTGGTGGTTCATTTAGCTGATGTATCATTTTACGGTACACACTTTTCTTGAGGAAAATAGACCTCACCAAGTCAATTGAATCCATTTAACGAGAATTATACACATATATCAATCTTAAAAAAATGGCCACACTAGTAAAACCTATGAACAAGCTCATATTTACACTCAATTTTTGTTGTATCTTTCTTGCAGTGCCGAGTAAATTATGCAAATAAAATCTATTCATCGATTTTTTTGAATTTAAAAAAGCATACCGCAATCAATCTTTTATCTTTTTCACAATGCATCTCTTTTTATATGGATTGCATATTCTGAAATACCTATTGATTAGATTATTAGAAGCTGACAGGACAAAAAAAAAACTTGGACATATCTGTGATATTGGATTAGTTAATTAATCATGATATGTGCTAGAAGCAACCGCAGTAAGTCAGCCAAACAACCGGGATTCCCTATAGAATATTTTCCAGGTAGAAGGATAGGAGGACTTGCACTGTGTCTGTTATAATGTATGAAGTATATGGTAACTCAAAACAAATAAAAAAGTAGTTGTATATGGCTTAATAAGGCGTCAAATACAACAATACCAAAAGTTTTGAATTTTTTTTTCTTTTCAAACAAATCAGATTGCGGTATTTGACAAATATATTACATTCGTGAAATAATAAGATAAAAGTATATCTTTATTGGAGGTGAAAATAGACTAAAAGAACTCTACTGCTATGAAATAATTGATCCTTTTTATATTGCACAACTCTCCTGGGTTTTAATGATGAGTCAACGGTTCTGGTTTTGGAATAGATCTATACTTTCTTTCCCGCCTTTGGTTAAATGAATAATACTCGTTATAATTGTTTCCAGTTAGCGTTGTCCCATAGCAGTGGATTGGGAGCATGAGTATTCTAATAAACTTTTAGTGTTACGAGACACCTATTTATCGGATCATGTAACAGCTACTGTAAAAGATGTCTACTTGTTTGTCGAGTGTAATTAGCAGTAGAAAATAATAGCTATAGCTGATCGTTTACTCATGATCTTTCTGATGAATAAAACACGATCCCAAATACAAAAATATATTATCGATATTTAGTATATTTGGTTGTATAAAGTAGGTATCCATTAATTCATACACTAATTCTTTATACACTTTATCAGCTGTATAATTTATATCAATGTTGTATCGCAGATGTATTAAATCATAGAAACAATAGAAATTTAATATTAGATCTCAGTAGACAGACTGGAGATCGTAAACATGGAAAGATTGCTATGAACGAATAAGAATACACGGATAAGCATTTAGTTATTCAATTCAAATGTATAAACGATTGAAAAGTAAATACCGATTGGATTTACTATTAGTTTAGACACAGATTCGTAAAAGTATAAATACGAGGTCATTCAACTCTTAATAAAAGTTCATCTTTACTTTGATTATTTTTAAAGACCATTTGATGTCTACGATATTACAATCAAGATATAAGTAAATGAACCATTTATATTAATAGCTGTTCTATTCTCTCTCTGGGTAGCTAATCTATTGAAAGAACTATTAATATTAAGTTTTTCTTTCTAATAATTTTTGATTTGATCTGAGAAGATTCTCCTCTCAATTGGTGATATCGTAACTCTCTCAGTGGTATAGCCTTATGTATGCAATTGTCATTCGTGTATCATATTTAGGCCAATCATGCAATCTTTAATATAGAAGTATGTACTTGTAGTGGGAGAAGTTGTAGAGCAGTATACAAGCGTATGCTGGTGTGACAATTGAGAATAGAAAGGGGAATGTAGATTGGAAAATAAAGCAAGTAAAGAAATGAGACTCTATAATCTTTTATTATAAGTTGGAGAGTTTGTCATGATAAAAATAGAGGTCCTTTTTATATTCAATTATTACTTCAAGATTTTTCCTGCAAACTGGGAAATGGTAGAATTAGATTTAGAAATCAGTTACATATGAAACATAGCTTATTGTTATATACAAGGAGCTAGTTGACCCATATCCGGCACTTCTAGAGCATTATAGTTTATCCATTCAGTGACAGGGTCCTTGATTGGATTACTAAAATAAATTTATGAGAAACTAGAAGATTCGGCAGCTACTCGACCAATCCAGGAACGATTATGAAATCTGATCTCAGTTTGACATATGAGGGAGCTGGTACTGTGTCGTACCAATAGGAATGTATTCGCAATATGGTACTTATAATACATAGGCTATATGTATTATAATTGAGTGACAAGATAAGAGTAATTGTATTCGTGGAATTAGGCGTCAAATACGACAGCTGGTATGCAACATCAAAGGTTGTTTTAATTTCATAGTTTATTTATTTAAATGATTTGCTTAATTATTCTTAAGTGAATCGTACCAAATACGACAATCTATGCTCACAATGTAGATCCTGTCTTATATGAAATTCATTGTATGGTTTGTTCTGTAATGAAGAGTGTTAGATTTAATTGGCTGGCTGAAGTTGGGTGCCTGAACCGGTTATTACGTTAAAAAAGATTACACTGTGAAAAGATGATTTTCCACGTCAAATGTACTCTCCCGTTGATGATCATTTAAACCAAAAACGTTTGTCACTTTCCTCAGTTTAAATGGTACTGTCACAATTATGTTAAACCTAATGCCGAATTATGCTTTATGAGTAAACAAACTTCCCACTCAATATTTATCTTTGATCTGTCCGCTATTTAAAGCCTTTGTCCAGATTCACATAAAATATTACTAACTTTTGTCAATGCTTATTTTCTTTAGTTACTTGTTTTTTTTTTCTATAAATGTAGCGAATAAATTTCACTTCTTCTTGTTTTTTATTATCAGATAAATTTCACTTCTCCACTATTTTCATTATCAGTGACATATGCCATATTCATTTTTTGTTTTTTTTTGTTTTTTTTACCTTACATTACTTAAATGAATAACATATTTTCAAGAAGCTACCCGTTTCCGGTCCAGTTCTGCCTGTCTTTTTTTTTTGATAGTTACTTTATCTTTTTGTATTTTGTGTATAGCAAACTGTCATCTAGATAAAAAGCATCAGATTCAAAATATGTTACAGCTTGACTCAAAACTAAGACTGGGCTTGTCAAGATTGTGTTACATAGACGCATTTATTTCTGTAATTGTATGTAAGCACCTTCTCATCCACAGGGTATCCACCAACTATAAACTCTCGGCCATTAACAGGTATTGATTTAATAAACTTCGATATTGCTTAATTTAAAGTTTTGTAAACTACTTGTCAAAAAGAAGAAAATAGAATGGTTAATTTAAGTATCAACGCAAAATCTCGCATGAAGAGACTTTTATTGACATACGTTATATCAAAAATCGG